TGAATGCTTGACAGAGCCTGTCTGGGGACATCCACCACCCCTTGGCTCCAGCTGGCTGCGACTTTCACAGATCACATTCTGCTAAGTGCTTCTCAAATGTCTAAGTGCCAAGGCAACCTTGAAAGTATGAACAACCCACCTGAAAGAGCTTGTAACCATCTTCAGAGACTACACTTGGTCCCTCATGCCTAAATAAAACTTTAATGGCACTGTATGTTTCTCCTGATACATTTCCTTCAGTGTTGTGCTAAGAGCAAGCAGCAGCCCTGCAAGTCTTGCAAAACACCACTCCAACACAGATTTTCTGTGGTCTGCTGCCTCTCTGACCTGCTCAGATTCTGAATTGCCAGGTATATGGACCAGAACCCCAAAGTGGATTAAAAATCACAACACTCAGCCCCCTACAGATGGAGGTACCAACAGAGACAACTACCAGGTAGAGGTTTGGAGATGAACTCTGTGTTTCTGGCCTTTCTGGTGGCCTGGCAGCTGCCCTTGCTATCCATTAGTCAAGAAAGACCAACTTTCAAGTATCAGAAGATATGAGCCACTGTTTATGATAACAAGCAGTAAAATGTTTCTGTGAGCAGAAATGTGGAGGCAGAAAAGCTTGATGACATGTAATTGTTACTGTGGACTGAGATTACTTACTAAAACTGGCAAAAGGGCAACAATGAGCATTTAATTGGAGGGTTCAGAATTTTTTCCTGCTCTCAGAAATTAACCAGGTCAGCACAGTCAAGGAAGAAAAGGGGAAAGATAAAAAAAAAAGTCACTCTTCCCTGAGAAATCTTACAAATGAAAATGGCAATGTTGCTGAGAGCAAGAAATGCCAGGACTGCGGGGGAAGAAGTTGCCAAGCTACTGTGCAGAGGGAGCTCAGATTTGTTCAGTGGTGCAGCTTTTCCTTAGTTAACAACTATTTTGCCCTTAAAAAATAAAATTTAAAGAAATGGAATCCCAAAGGGCAAGTACTTGGGCAGGATGTTATTTGGACTAGAGGATCTTTAAAGGTCCCTTCCAGCCCAAATCATTCTATGATCCTATGATTTAGCATCACTAGGAGGCAAACCAAGCCTAGGTAGGGCCTACAGAGCTCTCTTGCTATGGCGATGAGTGGAATGAATTAAAAAAGGAAAATAAAAAGCATAAGAGCACTTCATAGCCCAGGAATTCACCTTTGGCTAGGAGCCATTTAGCTCTGTCCCACCTGCCAGACAGTGCCCTTAACAAAGCTGCTTATCTGAGGCTGTGTTAGGGCTACCTGGTACAATTAAGGAACGGAAAGTTTGCACTACAGAAAAACAAATAAGAAGCCAGCAGTAACTACTCAGCTCCATTGCTCGGTGGGAGCAGTGGTTAGTCTGTCAGAGAGACTCCAAAGGAAGGAGGCCAAATGCCACCTCATGGCACTGTCTTGGGACCATTCCCTTCAGATCTGGAGCATATCAAGGCACTGTGAACCCAGGTTGATACCAGAGGCGGGGAGAAGCCTCAAACCAATAAAGAAGGAGCATAGAAATGCCAGGTAGCTTAAGTCCTTTCTGGCCAGGGCAAGCTGAGTGCTGCAGCCTAGGCACAGCAGTGCCAGGCACTGGGAGGAGGCAGCATGGCTCTGCCCGGAGAATGGCACAACCCACGGGGCTGGCTTGCAGGGCAGTGCAGGTTAGTTTCTCTGTCTGTCTGCTGTGTGTGGTTAGTCTGGTTTTTTTTTGTTCTGCTTTCACAGAATTTCATGTTATTCCCAGTGTGGTCCAAGCTGAGACACTTGTTCTGTCTCTCCCAGCCTTCTCCTGTTTCTACTCGGTCCATAGGCAAAAGCACTGACCACCTGAAAAGGTGACTCTCTGCCTTACACGTGTGGTAGGCAGGGAAGCAGAGCCTGCAGAGGCAGTGAACTGGGAATGTGTGTTCCCTCATGTTTTCCTTGGCTTGGCTGTAAATGGTTTGAACTAAGAACAAGACAGCTGGAGGGGGAAGCCCCCCAGCACTCTCGCACAAAGAGAAAAAAGGTACATAGAGACGTGCTTGTGCATTCGTGCAAGTGTTCTGGCAACGGCTGTTTTCGGAGAGAGCAAATAGTGGCATTCAAAGCCACGCTTGGACTGAAGGCTCGTGCTGTGTGTGGCAGTGCCTGGTGAGTGCTCAGTGAGTGGCACATCCCTGTGGTGGAAGCACTGCCACCTCACCAGCTGTAGCTCAGTGGCACAGCCAAAGCACCCGTGCTTGCTGCCTGCTTCCCAGCTGGCCAGCTTCCTGAAGCCCAATGGTTAGCGTGGTGGCTGTCCTGCCTAGATGCACCCGTGTGCGAGCAGGTGCTTGGTGGTGTGGCTCTGCCGTCCTGGGCCCTGGCAGTGATGAAAGGCAGCGTCCTGATGCCAGCGGTACTGGCGCATGCCTGTGCACACCCCTGCACGTGTGCTGCCTCGCCAGGGCAGGAGCTTGCTTTGCCCTTGCATCTGCATCCTTCAGTGGGGCTGCCCAACAGCAGAGCCAGGGAAAGGCTCCACCAGCCTCAGGTCACCCTGGTGGCAAAGCACTGGGGCAGGAACCAGCTGGGTGACGAGGAAACACCATTTTGCATCTGGCACTTGCTCATGTGCCGGTCTGGCATGGCAGGAAATGCCAAGAGTGGCTGAGTTTCAGCAAAGTCATCAAGGAGTCAGTGAGAAGGTGCCGAGAGTCACGTCAGGAAAAAGCCTCTTCCGTCTGTCTGCCACACGCTCTCACCCATCATGCACAAGCTGGCCAGGATAGATCCGGATTCCTCAGAGGATGGACAGGCAATGGTGCCCTGGCCCATGTAGTTCTTCTGCTTGCACTGGCATTTCCCTTGCCTACTTGTTTCTTTGCAGGCGCTACTCTTTCCAGGAGCCAGCGCTGAGCTGGGGGTTTGCAGTTCGCACGTAGGCAGGGCTGGGGCTGGTGGCCCACACAGAGTGGGCACAGCCACGTGCCTTGGCGGCGGTTTCACACGGGAATGCACCCAGCTGCTGCTCTGCAGCTGGGGGCCAGGCGACAGCTTTGCTGCCGAGCAGTAACTTGGCACAAAGGACTGTGCTCAGTCCCGCAGAGCAGCAGTACTGCAGCATCCCAGGGGGCTGGCAGCATCTCAGCCTCATCCAGCACTGATACTGCCACCAAACCCACCACCACTGACCCCTCTCTCTCCTGCACACCCACAGGCAAAGTCCAGCCTGGTCCCGCAGCCACCACACTGGCAGGGAAGGGTATGCAGGTAAATGTGCTTCCAGCAAGCTCAGCATCACTCCAGGGCTCCATCCTCCTACATCTTGGGAGTCCTCTGAGGATTAGTGACAGGGACTAGAGCAGGTAGGGAGGACAGGTCTCAGGCCCCAGCCACCACTGTGACAGCTTGGGCAGAGTGTGTCCTGGGCAGAAAATGGCTACTGGCTTCCTCCTGCTGGGAATGACCCACCCTTTGGGAAGCGGAGGGGAGTGAGAGAGGGCTACGGCTGCACAGACAGGCTTGGCAGGAGCCATTCCTGGAGGTGCCAAGGACTGAGGACTCTCAGCGCACCCTGGTACGGCTGCAGGTAGTCAGGAAGTGGGCACATGTACACAAAGAGGCCTGTCACAGAGGGTCTCCCTGCTCCCTGCCAGCAGAGGGGCCCTGTAGGAAGCATGGGGCACTCGAGACTGGGATGTGCCTGTGGGAAAGGACTTCTCTGGCCACAGGCTGGGGAGCGTGCCCATCGCCCAGGGGCTCTATGGCCTCTGCTTATTGCTGAAGAAACAGACAGCAAAGCCAGCTTGTATGAAACCCGATTATTCAAATTTATTAACATCAAGAATTATGCAATGATGCTGTAGATTTTTTTTTTTTTATTAACAAATAGAAAACAGACTGTATACAACAGTGACCCCTACAGCACTATGCATCCACAAGGTAAAAATGAATGTGTCCTCCAACGTTACCAACCCTGGATTGCTGATTTCAACGTAGCTTGGATTCTTAACTTGGAATACATGTGATAATACAATTAGATACCCTTCCACCACCTTTATTCATAACTCAATGCACTCGAAAGAGGGCTGCTCACTCCCTGTCTTTAGTGCAAGCGTGATATAATAAGGAGTATTAATATATAGTACCATTAAATTAAGTCCAGTAGTCTTGCCACATTGGTTCATTAGAACGTCCTGAAGTAGCGGAAAGTACAATATTCTAGTGACTTTTAACATTTGCAGGATAGCAGAAATTATAGATACACCCAACCTCTGCAGCCATGTGTACTCCCCTCCCCCTCCGTGCAGTACCCCGCTTTCCAAAGCGAGCCGGGGTGGCTGGGCTTGTGTTCCTTCCCTTTGGGAACCCTGGTAAGAGCTGCGCTGACAAAAAGGGCCGTGTCTCGCTCTTTCCATCCCCTCCCTGGGGAACTGTGGGACCTGCTCGCTTCTCCTGCCCCTTGCCCCACGAGACACACAATAAGAGGCTCCGAAGCCTGGAGCCTGGGATTTTGGGTCTCTCACAAACAAGGCGATGACAACCCATGTCGTACCGGGATCTGCTAACGCACACGGTCACTGGATTGGTTTAACAGGCATTGAAATAGGACTGAATAGTTTTCCAGCTGACAAAGGGGACTGTGTCTCCGGTGACCCCACATGCCCTCCCAAACCCAAACCTACTCAGGAAATAATGGGGACGGGGGGTGGGGGGAAAAGCTAAAAAAAAAAAAATAATCGGTAGCTTAGGTCCAATTCCATGAAATTTCATATTCTACAGAGGATTAAAAAGCAGCCTATGGGGAATGGAGCTGGGCAGGAACCACAAGCCAGCTGCTGCAAATTACCGAGGAAGCTGCACTAAAATGGGCAGAACCAGCAGTGACTGGGCTGAAATAAACACAGGGCAGTAAAAAATGTAAAAGCAAAAGGAAATTAAAAAAAAACACACCCAACTCCCAAAGGTCTGGCAGGTCCAGTTCTGCCTGGGCAAAACATTAAGACTTGCAAAAAAATAAAAAATAAAGAGAGAGGAGATTATAAAAACCACTAGTAACTATTTTACATGTTTTAAAAAAGATCCCATTCTACCCACCTAAAGCCTCGCTGTGAAATGCAGTCGCGTGAGAGAGGGCGAGAGATGCACATGAGCAGAAATTCAGCCAGAGACTGGAAATGCTTCTGGAGTCGGATTCCCTTGTTCGGCGCTGGGGCGAAGTTCCTAAATGCCGTGGTCAAAACTGGTTGGCGTGGAGGTCTGCTGCCTGGGCAGCACCTCCATCTGTACAGAAAGACTAAGGAATGGGCGGCTCTGTCTCAGAGGGGCCCGTCTCCACTCCTAGACATCCCCACCGCGACTGGAGGAAAGCACTAGTTACGTTGCATAGTGGTCGAAGCTGCCGAGATACTCCAGTGCCGCTCTGTAGCACAGCTGGTACTGGTCCTGCAAGGCAGTGAGGGGGGAGCATGAGAAGTGGGGACCAAAGGACAGCAGGGTTGCACACACAGAGATGCCAGCTCCTCTCCCTTCTCCCACAGATCTCCTGCTACCCAGGGGAGGAGGGAACACTCACCTCTGTCTGCACCATGGCTGGCCGCTGCGTCCGCAAGGTCTTCACTGTCTGGAACATGTCCACCACCCCCTCGTAGCGCATCCTCTCCAGCACAATGCTGAGTGTGATGAACACGCCCGTGCGCCCGACCCCAGCGCTGTGCAGAGGGACCAAGAGGTGCCGTTAGAGACCCACCAGCCCCAGCGAGGCTCTGCAGAGCATCCCTGGTTCATGGAGCATGGGGGCCTGCTCAGTGGGGCCAGGAGAAGCCACAGGGACATTGCCAGCCAGAGATGCCCCCCTCAGCCCCATGAGGCCCACCTCTGGGCCAAGCTGCTGTGGCACCCTGCCCTGCCCAAGGAGCTACAAATCAGTACTACCAGGGCACTGAGTTTATCTAGTCACCTGGCAGAAAGGCTGCCAATAGCACCCATGGATGTTGCCACCTCCTTGTCCCCTGCCTGCCTCTTGCCAGTGGTATGCAGAAGGAGCACCAAGTGCAGGGAAACTGGCAGCTGCCAGGGTAAGTGAGGTAGGGAACATGTCTGAGGGCTGATGAAGGACAAAGTGGGTGCTGATATGTCCACACTCACCTGCAGTGCACCGTGATGGGCCCATCCTGCCCAAACTGCTCCTTGGTCTTGTGCACCTGCCCAATGAAGTCAATGAAGCCCTCTCCCGTCTTTGGCACTCCCTGCTCAGGCCAGTCTGTGAACTGAAACTGGCGGATGGTCCGTGACTGGCCGTCCTGTGGGGACAGGGGTGTTAGATGTGAACTGTGGGTGAGGGGCTGATCTCGCTCCCCTCAGCACTGGTGCTGCTGATCTGCACTCAGACGCCCTGGCCAGCTGGGAAGGTGCACAGGCTGTGGATGAGCCCAGGCAGATCTTTTGGGGATGTCCTGGGTTGGGGTAAATAGAGCTGGTTCTGCTCAACGATTTTAGCTTTTTAGCTAAAGCTCTTCTAATTAACTGCTCTGTCTGAAGTTAGCAGCGTTTTCATAACCTGTCTGGCTGTAGCAATGATAAGACTTCATGTTTAGAGTTACTGCCAGGCATTGGTGTGCAGACCAAGGCCACTGCTAAGCTTGGATCCCACACGGAGGGGGGCAGAGAGCACCCTGCACCTGCGTGGAGGAGCAGACAGGATAAGTGACCCCAGGATTCACCAGTGGGGTATTCCATCCCATATCTGTCATATCCAGTAAAGCTGAAGGATCAGGAGGGGCAAGCCCTTCTGTCACCCCTTCCGTTCCCTCTTCTCTCTGCTGCTGCTGGGCTGCTGGCTGCTCCTCTCGTTG